TAATGGTCATGACCGAATTTTGTGGACAAGGACATCTGATGGGAGTTTTTCTGAAGTCCGCTTATATGGCCATATCCAGGGGTAACGAGGAATCTACCAATTTACCTTGGAATCGCGTTTGGCAGTGGCATGGACCTGAACGGATTCGTACGTTCCTTTGGCTGTTGTTAGGAGATAAAATTTTGACAAATGAAAGGCGTTGCAGACGGCACATGGCGGGTTCAGATATATGTCATCTGTGCAATTGTTTTACGGAAACTTCCTTACATGCGGTTAGAGATTGTATTGCAGCAAAAAAAGTGTGGGAGATTGCAGTTAAGCGAGAGGCTTGGGAGGATTTTTTCTCTCTTAATCTTCAGCAATGGGTGTTGTCCAATATCTCTGAGGATCGTAATTGGTCCAATTTGCCATCATGGCCTCTTCTGTTGGGTATCATTTCCTGTTTCATTTGGCAAGCTAGGAATAAGAAAAATTTTCAGGGATCTTCTGTTCGAATCAGCCTCTCTGCAAAAAGCAGGGGAAAGACTGCCTAGAGTATTCCCTTCCCCAGACACTCACGAAGTGGGTATTTGAACTGGGTCGGCCCTTCTGTTCCTGCTTATGGCACTTTTAGAGCTGCTATGGTCTATGGTGAAGATTTTTCTTGGTCAGAAAACACGCTTCGGGTTGCTGGTCTTGAGACTAACTCGAATAAAGAGAAATTAGTTTCTTGGGTTTTTCCTTCGGACCCTTGGGTTAAGCTCAATGTGGATGGGTCAAGTATGAATAATGGAGAAGCTTCTGCTTGTGGGGGTGTATTTAGGAATGCTAGTGGAAGGTGGCTTGTTGGCTTTTGTAAAAATCTTGGCTGTGGTAATGTTTTGTTAGCAGAACTTTGGGGTTGTCTCCTTGGGCTTGAGATTGCATGGAGGAAAGGTTTCCGTTTTGTCTGGCTTGAAGGTGATTCCTTAGTAGCCCAGTTTTTCATAAGAGAAGGGTGCAGCTCTCATCATCCAGCCTCTAACTTGGTCTTGCGCATAAGGAATATGCTGGATTGGAATTTGAGGGTTAGAATTTCCCATATTCATAGGGAAGGGAATGGGGTTGCCGATTGGATGGCCTCTTTTGCCTACTCCTTTGATTGGTCTTTACAAGAGTTTGACTCGCCTCCTTCTGGTTGTCGTGACAAACTTGAAAGGGACTATGTAGGAGTAGTTTGGTCTAGGAAGTGTTCCTAGTTTCTTTTTTTGTTTTTATGTTTCCTGTTTGCTTTTCAAAAAATATTTACTACCACTACCCCATCAAATGCATACATCAATTGTAGAAAAAATAAATTGGACAGCGGAGAATGTGACTGTGCGTATGGAAAAGACTTTGTTGAAAGAGATTTACCCACTTAATGTGATCTCCCACTTCGAAAGGATGAGTCTTCGACTGTCAGCCGAAGGATATATTGGGAAACCAAAAAAAAAAAACAGGAAAAAATTACTCTATCTTAATATGTAGAGAGACATCATATCATAAAATTTCATATTTTAAACGGGCAAATTCAATATTATTGGCTAAACTCCTTACTAGTTCATCCACGTGTTTAATGATTATGCTTTGTGCTTTGATTTGTTTGATTTTGAGAGACAAAATTATTTAAATTAAATTAATTATTGAAAATTAATTACTTTGATTTTAATGACTTCAAATAAAAACAAATTCAATCTTAATTGGATTTTCATCAAAAAAAATTTGTTAAATAAATATAAATGAAACTTTTTTTATCCTCAGTTTCCATTTTTTTTTCTTTTATCCTTTTCATGACTTAATCAACAATAAACTTGTTTAACAATCTTAAACAAAAATCACTGGCAATACATACGAATAACAATTCAGCATAAAAGTTTCGTCATAAAAACAGCAATAATTAAAATCTAATCAGTAATGAATATGTAAACTATAAAAAAACATATACATAACTATTTAAGTTTGATTGAGTTTTTTTTGCTTCCATTTAATAAATAAAAATAAAAACCAGACTAAATTGATAAGCTTTTACAAAAGGAAACTAAGCAAAACCAAATATAATTGGTCTTATTTGGTTTTTAGTTTTTGATCTAGTTATGAACTCCTATATTTTTAGAAGATGGAGTCAAATGTTGAGTGTCACCAATAATATTCATAATTATGAGCAGTTACTTGGTGGTTAAGTTGACAAAGATATAGCCTATGATCACTTTCATGTGTGATTATTATTAGTCTTTAAGCTTCTTTGGTGTTTGAAGTGGTAATGCCTAACAAATTTTACAAATTAAGGTGTATAGTTAATTTTTTTTTTTCTAATAATGCTTAGTTTGAAAATAATGATGGTTTTAAAACTAAATATATTCAGTTATTTAATCAATATTATCCTTAGTTTAGTCCATGCTTATCAAACTAGAAATTCATTTCTTTGAAAAAAGGGATTCTTAGTTATAATATAAAATTCATTGAAATATTAACTGTGTTTGTTTTTTGTTATGACATAATAATCTATATACCCACCTTAAAAAGGTAGAAAGAAGCTGCAAAGCAGTGTCAATTAAGCAGAGTAGCAGTCTATGGCCTTTATTATAATTTATATATTTGCAAACAACATTTGATAAAATTGTATCCAGAGCCAGCTTTGGTGAAGAAACAAGTGCTTGAAATCACTGGCAGCCACCAGCTGCAAATCCAATCTTGGAATTGGCAACATCATAAGCCACCTTAAATGTCTGTTGTTGATAATTCCCAATAATGGCAATGGGGTCAGTTCCAGAGCTAGCAGCAATGGCCAAACAAGTAATTCCCTTCTCAAGTTCTAGAAGGGTGTTATGAGCCTTAAGTGTTAGGTCAGCACCCCCATGAAATATCATCTGAATATCAGGCACTGCTGACATACCTTTGACACTACCCTTAAAACAAGTATCCAATATAGAAATTCCTGGGGCCTGTGCATACTTTTTGGACATGATGTTTACAAAAGCTGTTTTCAGTGCTGTATAAACAGGCATAGGTAGCCTTGTAATTACTGTACCAGAATCTATGATAGTAGGGACCCTGTAACTTGAGGCAGCCACTACCAGTGGCCTTCCTGCCACAGTAATAGCTGTTAAATCCAGAAAATATAAGGAGGGAATCTTTGGATTCTTAACCAAGGGAGTGAACTTGTATGATGATGATGGTGTCAATGATGAGCTTCCAATGGATAAGAAACCTTCCTTGGAAGAGTTAGGTGAAGAAAAAGATGTGGGAAGACAATAGGAGAAGGCATAGCCATATTTGCTGGATAATTGTGCAAGCATGGAGAGCTTGTCATGGGCTAGACCTATAATACCTGCAGCCCTTCCAAACAACCCTTGATTGTCCTGTCCACACCCATATACAAAACTTGATAGTGTCTCTGATGGAGTTAAGGTTAGCACATCTTGACTCAAATAACCAATTGAGAAAGAAGAATCACCATAACTTGCTTTGTACACACAAGAACGAGATACTCTTGAACAAGTGGGAGCATTGAGTGTGGAAACCTTGAGAGAGGAACACTGAGAGGATGAACATGGCAAGGCTTTGTAGGTCTTAGATGTGGAAGAATTGAATATAGGGTCAACCTGTTCATGGCAGAATATAATACAAGGATGGCACTGGAGCCAGGAGAGGGAGCTACCAGTGTCTACAATCATGCTGAAATACTTAGCAGGGGTCCCAAGTCCTATTTTCACATAGTAATTGCCTGACCCAATTGACAAACCTGATTTCAATGGTGTGCTCAAGAGTTTTGGTTCCCCCTCTTTATGGGAAGAGGTAGTAGTACCTGAATTGGTGACATCCACCTTGTAACCTAATCTGGAATGAAAATACCTCACACGCTCCTCATCTTTTGTGAACATGTCAAAGAATAAAAATGGCGTTGTGGATGTCAGAGAGGAGTCAAGACTTGTAACATGGTACAAATTGAGCTGCATGCCAGCTTGCTTGTGCCTTAAATCATTATCTGCAAAATGGACTTTTTGTAAGTTTAATGTACAGGCAATATATTCTTGTAAATTAAAATAAAAACTATACAAGAATGGAAACTAGATAGTTAATCTAAAGAGGAAGTTTTTGCTTCCATCAAGTTAAGAATTAGCTAGCAAGCTTTGAGATACATGCCTTCATATTCTGCAAGAGAAGATGCTATTGCAAGATGTGAAGAGAAAACTAGAAACCAAAAAAGGCTCATCTTGATTATGGGCGAGTTTCTCACTCTCCCCTCAGCAGATATATGTTATACTATGGTTCTACTTGTAGTTAAACCGACACTTTTCCGTACCAAATAGGCAACCGAAAAAAGAACATAAAAAATAATTTGTATTATGGGGCCAACGTGCAAACTAGTTTCTTTCATTATCTGCTTTACAGTGAATGCTTTAAATACCCTTCTACCTTTTTCATCCTTGACTGACCCAAGGAGCTCACATGACTCGTGAATTATGATGGAGCCAACTAGCTACATGGTCCACTGTGACACTCTTGTGTAATGATGTACCGTGATAGGCTATGGTTGTTACAACAACATCTTAAATATTGAGTACCTACACATCCTTTGGCAATAATAACATCATTAATCACATAATCCAAATATGCAAAAGTGAAGAGCGAAAAGAAAGAGTGACCATGTAAGCCACATATTAATTTATCAGTGTCTTTTCTGAAGCTGTAAGTTTGTAGCTTAATCAATGAATAAGGGAACATATGAACAGGCCATAAACGTGACCAACTTGTTCTGCTCTATTACTATGTAATAATGAACACTTGTTGGCATGAAAATGATATCAAGTAAATGCTTCATACCCTGTGTACAATCGGGGCAGCACAAGAAATATGATTTGACAATCACCAAATGGTGTGTCGAGAGGAAGTGCATTTGTCAAGTCCATTCACAACCACCCATTAATGAGAGAGAATGGGTAGGACTTGGCATGGTGATTTGGCTTTTGTCGCTTTCTCAGAACTGATGAAAGAGACATGCAACTATAAGATGCACCAGCCATACCATTAATCGTGGAGGAATCTTTGCATAGCTATCAGTGTCTAGATTAAGAGCAACAGTGCTTCCCATGATTGTAAACCTGCAACCTCATCTCTTTGCCTGAATAATGCATTCTGACCCATAGGGGCTTAAGTTTTTACGTGCTAACGGTGCTATTATTGGACTTTCTTCTTTAATTGAAGAGAAAACTAAACAGCATTTATTACATGAAGCGATAAATAATCTTATATCCAATGGGAACGCACGTTGAAGATGAGCCGGGTTAAAACCTGATGCTTTTAAGAGGAAAAATGAACTGAAATAACAGTTGAACAGCTATTCCTTTTTCTTTTGATTCCCTTTGTGTTAGTTTTAAGGATAACACCATTTAACATTGTTTTCTTTTCTTTTTACTTTGATTCCCCTTTGGGTTATTTTCTGTCTAATAAATAGTGATATCTTGCTTCACTCCGCTTGCATTGCCTAAACAGTTTTCCTCATTGCAATTCCTAAAGCAAATGTCGTATTCTTCGTCTTGATATCTAGAATTTAATGAAAACATGAATCAATTATAATATATACACGTATCGTACATGCATTAACCAAACAGAAATGAGCAGTATGAATGCTTGGAAAATTAGAATCACGAGGGATTATTTTCACATAATGATACACGGAAGGAATAAATGTTGGTACATGGAAAAAAGCACATGAAAGAGAGGTCTGGAGACAATTGAGATAATTAGAATGAGTGATCAAACCATCCAGCATCCAAGTTGATCACCGCCGAAATGCATTGCCTTCAGCTGCAGTTCTGCCTTGAGAATAATGTGTCCGACGACGGACACTCTCAGCTATGGAAGAGCTGCCCCCTTCAGCAGCACCATATACACTTTTTTGAGCAGCATCCAAGAAATTCTTGCCACCAGAATTACTGCTCTGGATTGCTTCCCGTGCATCAGTCTCCTCAGCCTTCTTTATACGTTTCCATCTCTGCTCTTCATGCAACTCAGCAGCAAGTTGCATCTGCCTAAGTTTAGCAGCTCGCTCTTCCTCTGAAAGCTTAGGAGCCACATTTCTCCGCTTATAGTGTGATCCATGTTCAAGTGAAGTAGTGGAAGATCCATTGAAGCTTGCTTCGGGTAAGCTCCCACTCCCCCTTTTAGGGACATCAAGTTTGGACTGACCTTCTGAAGCATATCTTTCTGACCTGGACTTGTTATAATTTCTGTCATCAGCATCTTCTTTATAGTCTTTGACATCTCTTTGCCTGTGGTGGTGCCTGGGTGACCTTTCTCTGTATTTTTTGTCTTCGTAGTGATTCCTCTTTTTTTCCCTTTCTCCTTCACCTGATTCATACTCTGAATGGTGCCTAGGTGACCTTTCTCTGTATTTTTTGTCTTCGTAGTGATTCCTCTTTTTTTTCCTTTCTCCTTCACCCGATTCATACTCTGAATCTGATCGAGCCTTGTGATACTTGTCAAAATCTTCATCAGCAGTCTTTCTTTTTCTCCTTTCAACAGTGTCATCTTCTGAATCTGACTGTTTTTTATGCTTTGATTTATTAGAACGGTGCTTTTTCCGCTTTTCCATTTTACTATGAGCTTTCTCATTGTGTTCCATTCCTTCGACCTGGCAATGTTAAAAGGCATTATTAGGACAGACCACATATTAGAAACAACATCAAACAAAAGGTTTTATGAAAGTAAACCATAACAATTGTTTTAGTCAATGTTAATGAAAGATTCTTTTAACGCAATCAATGAATCAAAGAAAATAAAATGAAAGGCCAGTGCGAGTACGTCAAAAGCAACACAACTTTATTTTCACAGAACTATATACCATATCTGACAAAAGCTGAAGTCACCATTAACAAGTGCAGTAGCCTCAATTGCACAGACACTCTTTAGATGGCTGCTACCGGCACAGGGTTACAGACAAAGGACAGTCCTAAACAGAAGCTGAAGTCACCACAGAGAAGGAGGGTGGGGAGAAGTTGCAGAAAGTGTGGGGTTTGAAAGAAGTTGTTGCTATAGTAACAGAACTTCGTATTGGTTGAGTCACAATGAGAGTGAGAGGCATGGGAAATTCCCGAGTAACAAGGTTTTAATTGGTCAGCAGTTTCTGCAATATGTTCACCAATGCATCCCCAGCACATCAGTGCACAGGGCCCCCACTAGCAAGTTCTAACAATTTATGAGTGCAGCTTAAAACATCAGCAGATTGAATTCATCTAAGCCAACATACTACATCTGGTTCACGTGAAGTATAACAATTACCAAAGTTATCAAATGCCGATTGCAGTGTGTCGTGGCCAACCCTAAAAAATGCTATAGTGCTATAGCGGGTTGCGGTTACGGAAATAGCGGAATAGAGATATGACATAATTAATGACAAAAAGAAACATTTTTAAACGTAGAGATAGCAGAAGTGACAGAGAGAGACACAGATAGACTAAAAGCCCTTAAATATTTTCCGTTACACATTTAAATTTAGGACAAAAATTGACATTTTGCCTTATGACAGAAATATGGCCATGATGATAGCAATGGCCACTATTGCGTTCCGGTGCAGATCGGTTTCTTGCGAGAGGCACCACAACGCCCATACAGCGCGGCTCGCGGCGCTATTGCAGCGCAATCAACTACTATTACAATTACCCAAACCAACAAAGGTCAACAAAGGAATCACAAATATCTTCCCATATAAGGTAAACTGTATCTATCTACGCATGAATTCCAGCTTAATGACCGAATAAGAAATTCATATCTTGTATTGTAACAATTTATCAATCCAAAATACAGATAGAATACAGTTCCCAAATCCCAACTAGTTCTAGTATAATTTCATAGAGTATTTTTCAAACTCTTTGACAACTCATTTCACAATCCAAAATGAAAGAAAGGCTTACTGATTTTCTGATCATAGCCATCTTGACAGGGTTGTTTTTGATCTTTGCAAGTGCTTCCTGCTCGCGTTGGCGAATCATGAGCAAGGGGTCAGAATGGAGCTTCCTCCAAGCATCATTGGCAGATTGAGGCTTGTCCTCGAATAAAGCTCCAGGCACACTTGCCCCCTCCTGCTGCACAATCACTCAATCATAAATCAATTCACACAAAAAAAAATGCTATAAAAAAAGGGGAAAAATTCCAACCTTAGAAGCAGAAGCAGAGGAGGAAGGTGCATCTGTTGATTCGGATTTGGGAAACCCTTCAAGAGACTTGAATCCTTCTGAATTGGAAGACTTTCCAACGGACAACCCCGAATCGTACAAAAACTCCAGCCTCTCCTGGTGACTGCAATCAAAATCAAACCAAGTTAAACCCTAACCCTAACCCTAACCCTAACAAACAAACAAACAAACGAAATATTAAATAGGGGAATAGGGTTTGGAGAAATTACGGAACGAGGCCAGCTTTCTCTTGAAGAATACGAAACTCGGAGCGTTCACGCTCCTCATGGATCTGTTTGCGAAGCTCCTCAAGCTTCTTCTGCTCGGCTTCGTGCTTCTGCTCCGCTTTCCACACGTTCTCTATGTTCCTTAGGCTTCCCGTGTGCCATCCCTTCTTGTTCAAAAACTTCAGTGCCATTTTCTCTCTCTCTCTCTCTCTCGAATTAAGGAATGAGCAAACCTAATACAACAGACTTCCGATTCGTAAACAAAACGAGAATCGACGAACGAATCTCTCTCTCAGGCTATTCGTCTGAAGTTTTGTCTTTCACCCCCCAACTTTCCTTGCTTTAATCTCGTGTTTTATTCAAGGGTAATAATACTTTTCAAAAATTATTATCTCCTGTCCAATCAATAAATACAGGAGAGAAAAAGAATAAGAGGTGAGCCAAAAAAATTCTGATTGGACCATTTGAAAAAAGAAAAAAAAAAGAAAAGAAAGAAGGATATATTTATCACAAAAAAAATTTATCACCTTTACAACTAACCTAATCACCGTTTATTTTCGTCAATCTAACGGTTATAATTTTTTGAAAATTATTGGGTCGCATTAATTAATTAATTATTAATTCTCATTAAATCTAATAAATTATAATTGCTAGATTGACGAAAATCAACGGTGATTAGGTTGATTGTAAATGTAATAAACTTTTTTTATGGTAAATATATCATGTTCCTTGGAAAAAATGTACACCCAAATATTCTAGTATTTTTTTATATAACATGAAAAAAATATTATTTTTTATTTAATATAATGTACATGGAATCGTAATAATACTGAGATAAATTAATAATGATAAAAGAAAAAGAAAGAATTATAAAATCATCACCTCACCGTTGATTTATTTTTAAATTACTATGAATTTATGAGATAACGACCACAATGTCACGTTTTTTTTTTTTTACTATGTCACGCGTTCAAAATAATTTTTCAAGAGTGTCACGTGACCAAACGTGGTATAGCTCATAGCAAGTTTGATTTGCCCACGTGTGTGATTAACAGTGCACACACGTTTGGTGGGTGATTAACGGCTTTTTGACCACTATAGCCTTTTTTTAATAATTAGTTACCAAATTGACCCTATTTATAAATTATTTCAAAAATTTAACCTCTTCAGAAAACATAACACCAATCTGCCCCTGTTTGACCGTTGACCATGAAGCCTACCCGGGTACACCCCTACCTACCCGGGTAAATTTTAAAATTTTTTACCTACCCGAGTACACCCCTACCTACCCGGGTAAATTTTAAAATTTTTTACCTACCCGGGTACACCCCTCCTTACCCGGGTATATTTCTTGAATCTGAAAAATGTTTGAATTATTTACCCGGGTAGAGAGGGGTGTACCCGGGTAAATAATCATAACTCAAGCTTTTCTCTTCTTGCTTTTCTTCTTTGTTTCTGGTTTCTTTTTCAAACCTTGCAGAGTCATTTTAAGAATGGTCAATTTCTGAGCATCTGAGGCAACCCTCTCCAACATCTTCCTCTTGCCATCTTCAGTTGTCTCTTTTACAGTTTTCCACAACTCAAGCTTGTCAACGCCCAATTCCTTCACCTCTAATTCTGAACATTTTTTTGAATTGCCTGACTGGTGACATGTAATAGCATCCTTTGTTGGAGCAGAACCTTGATTATTTGCTTCACTAATCTCAGGCATATGATCTAGTGGAATATCTTTCATCAATAACCTGTTTTCAGATTTTGTTCTCCATGCGTTAGTCCTTCAATTTAGAGATTTCCATTTGCTGTTCACACAAAGAAGATGGGCGCACACAACCAGTTTATGATTATTTACCCGGGTACACCCCTCCCTACCCGGGTAAATAATTCAAATATTTTCCAGATTCAAGAAATATACCTGGGTAGGGAGGGGTGTACCCGGGTAGGTAAAAAAATTTAAAATTTACCAGGGTAGGTAGGGGTGTACCCGGGCAGGCTTCATGGTCAACGGTCAAACAGGGACAGATTGGTGTTATATTTTCTGGAGAGGTTAAATTTTTGAAATAGTTTATAAATAGGGTCAATTTGATAATTAATTATTAAAAAAAGACTATAGTGGTCAAAAACCCGTGATTAACATGTGTCCCTTTTCACTCAGAGCAGGCTAACCGTACATAATATAGACTCGTTTGATGGACAATATATGATGAAAATAGGATATGACATGGGACTCATAAATCTATATCATGTCCTGTGTTTGATGAACACCTGATTAGCAATCTGATAAGATTATGTAGGAAGAGAAAGAAGAAAGAAAAAATAAAATATAATGTAATAAATACAAATATATTGGGTAGCGTGGAGATATATTGGGTATTCAATATTGGTATCCTATCCTGTTAAATCTTAATCCAGCTTTCTTCATAGGATAAGAAATCATGTATTGGATAAGATAAAATGAGACAATAAGATAAGCTAATCATATCCTATTGATCCACCAAACAAGAGATAAAAGTAAAATATAATAAGTTATTCTATCTTATTTACTTTATCAGGTGCTCCAAACAGATCCTATATGTGCTATGTCTCTTAATATATTTGGTGGGTGATTGAAGGACATAGCATGTATGGTCTCACATGTAGGGAAATCAAACGTGCTAAGGGCGGTAACAAGTCTGGCCGAGCACTCTGGCAATTAGGAAAATAATTTCTGAAAACATGACAGTACGATTTTTGTCCCTGATTCTTTCCCACCACGTCATGTTAAATAAAATATGAAAAAATCTATTTCTCTAAAATTTAGAAATTATCAAGGTTTATGTACCAAATTAAGAATATAAAAATAATATTGAAGTAATTTATCTATATTTTCTAATGGCAAAGAGAAGCTTAAGCTTCTATTTATGTAAATTTCAGTTTACTTTATTTGTTTTTTTTTTATGTGGATAGTTAAAGTTAGATTTTTTTTTTAATATAAAGCAAATCTTTTAACTCGAGTATGTAGGGGCTGAGACTCGATTCTTGTTCACACTTGAGTCCTGACATTGGTGATAATAATGTCTTTGAAAATATTCCGATCAAATAAAAAGTTAACAAATACTAATTCATTTTTGAACCATTGAGCTAAGTGGGATTATTATATTTGTTTTATTTCTCTCTCTATTTTTATGTACAGTTTATTTAACCTAAGGTAGTGTTTTGTCGGGGAAAAGTTAAAATTTTGCTGGCTAAGTGCATGTGGGAATTTGATTAAACCACATTTGGTTGAAGATTTTTGGTAAATTTGCCCATCAATGCAGTTTGCCTTGCAATTCAGGAAGAAGTGTAAAAATCGGATTTTGGCACTGTTGAAGAAGCCGTCTGAACAGGTGGAATTGGGTTGAAAAATCGAATAAGTGAAAAAGGGGATGAAAGACATGACACATATATCGTCTTTTGCATTATTTTTTCCATCACAATTTTATTTTCAACCAAACACATATTAGGATATTTAACCCAATTTTCCTAGTAATATATTGCGCTATCAAACAAGTTTTTTTACACTTTTCTACCAAACTAACTTTCCAACGTCTTTCCTAGTAAAGACAACTACCCACTTTAAAAAAATTTCTCCCCAACCAAACACTACCTAAGTATTTAATCAGCCTTGTTAAAATTATGAAGGAGTAAAGACCCAAATTGGTCCCTGACAAAAAACGCGGTGGACAAAATAGTCCCTAAGAAAAATAAACTCAAAAAAAAGTCCCCAACAATGTCAAATAGGTCCCACGTTAGTCCTTCTGTCAAATGAAAATTGACGGAGTGAGTGACAGCGTTGATGTGTCACGTTAAGTGACATGCGGTTGCCCACGTGGAGTGCTTGGACGACGTCGTTTGGGTAAGCTCAGCCACTTGAACACAAAGTTGTCTTTTATCCAAGAAACGTCGTCGTTTAGGGTTTAGGGTTCAACTAAAACCAGAAAGCATGGCATCGAATCGAAGGTCCAACGCATGAATTTGGGGAAAATTGATTGACGGTTTAGGAAAAATGATTGACGGTTTAGGGAAGGTGGGTGTATACTGTTCGATTTAGGGTTGAACTTTGTGTTTATGCCATGATTATGTCTTCTGGAAGGGGGAGCTCAGGTAGTTCGTTTGGGTCCAGAAGTGGAAGAAGGAGAGCTGCTCCATGGTGTAAATGTGGGAGGCACAGTGTTGTTTACACCTCCAAGACACCTAGAAACCCTAATAGATCATTTTTTGGGTGCCCCAACTTCAAGGTGAGGTTGATTTTTTCATGCGCTATTTTTGGTATTTCAATCTTATGAACTGTATATTTGAATTTTGCTTAGGAAAAGAAGCCGTACTGTAACTTTTTTACATGGGTGGATGATGCTACATCTGATACCATGGAGCTGGAAGATTGGACAATTAACAAGTTGGAGTTGAATGTAGCTGAAATGTAGTTCAAGTTGAACTTTTTGGACATGAAGCTCAATGATGAACTGCAACTGGAGGTGAATGACCACAAAAAGAAGATTAATGAGCACTGTATAAAGATTGAAGACATAGCAATGAAGATGCAGGCAGACTTTGAACGGGTTGAGAAGGAAAAGATGCATGTGTGTAGGTGTGCTAGGGTGTTTGCTGGATCCATTATCATTGTCTTTGTAATATGTTTATATCTTTGTAGTAGGGTGGAGTGAAATGTTCATTTTTAATCTGTAATATGTATGCTTCTCTGTAATGGAAAGACCACTGTTGGGATGTAATGAGATGTTGATTGTTCTTAAAATGGTTAATGTCCTTGAACTTGATTGTTCTTAAAGCACAACCTGCTAAGTATTAAGTCATCTGGAAATGGCAATTAAAATGGTCAAAAGACTGTATGAGCAGTAACAACAAGGATTGAGGGAATTATACAAAAAAGGGGAATGAGCTTTTGTGGTAACAGCTTTTTGTGGAATTGGTCTTACTGTCATGTTTTGCAGGGACTAATTTGGACCCCGATGAATTTGTTAGGGACCTATTTGACCTAGTGTAAAATATTACAGGGACTAAAATGGTCCTCGACCAAAATTGTTGGGGACTTGTAAGGTATAAAAGGGACCAATTTGCCAAGCAATTTGGTAATGACCTCAAAATTCAGGTATGTTTACACATGACCCCAAAATGACACAGCATACAAAATATAAGCACGACAAGCAATTGCCAAAGAGATGGTAATGACAAAAACCAGATATAGTATTGTTTGACAGTATTGAATACAATCATGACAGTGAATACATATTGCAACCAAACTGACATAATCTTCCATTCATTTCACATTAATGACAGCAATGAAAAATAGTAATAACATAAGAGATTTAGTAATCCAAAAAACATATTTCATTGATATCATGTCTGTGTACTTACAATTGACACTGACATATTAAACATATTCCTTTCATTCCACATCAACGACAGCAATTCCAAACTAGTAATGACATAAGAGATTCATCTTCCCAATAACCAGAGTGTTCATACTTAATATGTCCATAACCAGAGGCATACAAAAAAAGCCATTGGTGAATAATTTAAACAGGGCCAAAACCAAAGTAAACCAAAAAACTTGGCTAATTACAATTCCAAGCTAATGGCCTAATAACAAAAAAAATGCCTACTAAGACATTCGAACTGGCCTAATGTCAGTGATTACAATTCATGTTCAGTTATGTGGGGCTGGACTAGGTGGCCTGAATCCTGGTGTAGTCACGAAGCTCATGAATCTGGCTCTGGTGCCACTGCTAGCTGCAGCTGCTGTCTCACTGGTCACTGCCTAGCAGGATTGCATGGTGGTGGGCTGCTGGCTCTTGGTTCAGCTGCATTTGGTGCATGCTGGCTGCTTGTCTCTGGTGGAGGGCCCTGACTCATGCTGATGAGGATCTCTTCAACTGACCTTGACTGGCCAACTTCAACATTAACCGGTTTAGTTTTTTTCTTTGATCCACCAGCAGGTCCCTTACATGTCTTGGCATAATAACCAGTCTGACCACACTTGGGGCATTGAACTGTGTAAGTCTTCTTAAGCTTCTTGTTGGTCTTCATAAGCTCTTCAGTTGGATCCTTCTTGCGATGCTTTTTTGGACGTCCAATAGGCCTTTTCAAGCGTGGAGGAAGTGGTTTTGGGGAATCACAAGTTGGCCAATATTGTTGGGAATTGACTGGGTTCAGAGTGTGTTCATAAGTGGCATGCAAAGCATCCACTGTTAGCCATTGGTGAACATGATTTTCCACAGGTTCATTCTTGTGTGCAATGACAGCAATGGCATGTTCACAAGGCAATCCAGTCAGCTGCCACACATTACAACTGCAAGTTTGCTGAGTTAAATTCACCCCAACACGTTGACCCTTTCCAGAAACTTCATACAGATCTTAGACCAAGTTTCCAGTCCATGTTGGTGTCCAAGAATTGCTTGCAACCTTCAACTGGTCCAGCCTCTTCTGCTGTGCATGTGCTATCTTACCCCTAAAGGTTTGTAGAATCCTCTTGTGTGCTGCCATCCTTCGCATTATGTAGCACCTCAATTCCTCACACAATGTCATTATAGGTTTGTCCCTGTAATTGACAATCTTTGCATTCCACACCTCAGCCATATTATTCGTGATGTTGTCACATTTAGGCCAGTGACTGTAATAGGCTTTAACCCATGCTGAAGGGTGTATATTGTCAAGATACTTCCAAGCTGGTTCGTTTAGAGTCTTCAGCCTTTGCATGACCTTCTCAAATTGGGGAACAGTGGTGCATCTAGCATATTCCCACACAATCTGTCTTGTCTCTTTATCCTTCCACTGCTTGATGAAGTTCTTCCATACATGTTGTACACAGAACCTGTGGTGTGAACCTGGCATAATTTCCTTCAAGGCTGGGACAAGTCCCTGTATGTGAAAGACAAAAAAAACATTAAAATATAATATCTAATCAGCATGATTAACAGGAGCATTTGTAATGGGAAATGACAGTGCTGGTGTTATAAGTGGCCATTTGAAAAAATTGTTGCAGGGACCAATTTGACCCCCGATAAAGTTGTCAGGGACTGAAATCAGAAATTTTGTTAAAAATCAAGGACTGAAATGGTCTTCGTAAACATTTGTGGGGGACCTGTCAAGGTTATCAAACAACATTACACAAGGCAAACATAACACACTTACCATACCATTTCATAAACTAGAAGCTGTATAACATTGGCAGCAAAAGAGATGAAAATATCCTAACCAATCCAGAATGGAAATAACTTCAGCTTGCATTATTCAATAAGATCATTAACATCAGTAACTTGACTATGACAAAATATTCATTAACTTCAGCTTGCATTATTCAATACAATTTGGATCATCAATGACAGCAGCCAGAGCAAACAGAACAAACTTGGCAATCCAAAATATTCATTAACATCACCACACAGAATATCACAAGGACAGATTCATCAACAACAGAACTATGTCAAAATATTCATTAACAACCAAAATACAATTAAGTATACAATTAACAATGAAGTAAATCTTACCTTTTGTTGATCCGAAATGAAGTTCCAACCAAATACTGCATGATCCCCTAAATCTTCCTGTAATAATGTCAGAAACCACTTCCAATTATCTTTGGTCTCACTATCAACCACAGCAAATGCAATGACATAGAATTGCTTGTTTGCATCTTCACCAACAGCACTCAATAACTGACCTCCATAATAGCCCTTCAATTAAGGGCCTGCATCCAGCTTTGAAGCCCTTCTTACAAGCATCAAGGCATATGTACATTCTGTCAAAGATTGGCAATGCTTGTGGAATAGGAACTGGGGTGACTTGCAATTTGCAACTGGAGCCAGGGTTGCTCCTCAACAGTTCAGCCAAATATTCTCTTAATCTTCCATATTGCTCCTTCTCACAACCTTCAATGGTCCCCTTTGTTTTTTTCAAAGCCTTACTTACTTTCTTCATATCCAAATGCACATTTTAACACAATACAAAGCAATAAAAAAAACAAAATTTTTTATGGATCCAGACATGCATGCAGACATGGGGTTTTTAAATGTTTTTAAATGGGTCAACCATGGCAGGGACCACACCACCCGATTGTCATTTTTTTAAAAGCAAAACCCTATATGGAAACATGGACCACAAAGTTCCACTTCGTGCAGACAAAAACAAGCATTAAACAAAGGGGAACAACATGGGGACCACAAACATTAAACAAAGGATGACAAACATCAATACAAAAATGTTTCAACTTATAAATACTCATACCTTTTTCAACAGAATGCCCAGCCTCACAAAGTATCCAAATATGGCTCTTCTTTCTTCCACTGGTTCCCTTCGATTCTGGAAAAAAGTTGGCAATATTCTAAACGCAAGCACCAGGGTTTAATGGACGGTCTTCTTCCTTCCTGCTCAACGATGAAGTGTCGATGTTAGAAGAGGGGGAAATGGAAAAAGGGTCCAACGGTTAGGTGAGGGGCAAAATTGGGTTTTAGAAAAAAAAGGTTGTCCAAGTGGCTTTGGTTACCCAAACGACGTCGTCCAAGCACTCCACGTGGGCAACCGCATGTCACTTAACGTGACACATCAGCGCCGTCACTCACTCCGTCAATTTTCATTTGACAGAAGGACTAACGTGGGATCTGTTTGACATTGTTGGGGACTTTTTTTTGAGTTTATTTTTCTTAAGGACTATTTTGTCCACCGCGTTTTTTGTCAGGGACCAATTTGGGTCTTTACTCAAACTTAAAGGAGTGTATTAGATTAAGATTTTAAAATATATTTTTGAGATAAAAAAATTCGACAAATTTCAATAGATTCATATGAACAATATGGATTTACAAGATTTTTTTACAATCAAAATTTGATAAGATTAATAAGATTAGAAAGGATAATATGAATTTACAAGATTTTTTTTAGAAAGATTATATGATTTTTTAAGAAAAATTCAGATTATATAGAGTTGAGAAGTAAATTGAACCAATTGAAAAGGTAAGTAGATTGTAACACTTTTATTATCAATCAAACATCCAAAATGTAAGACACAATTCAGTATTTTAATTAAACAATGGTATTTCAGTTGCCGCTAGGAAACTGAGCAGGTGGAGGTAAAAATATTTATTTGATCCTTTTCAGACTAGTTGCAAAATGATAAACCGATTGAAATATCTCAAAAAAAAAGAAAAAAAGAAAAAGAAGAAGAGTATTTTACAATATTGGTCCAGTTGTTTTAAATTTCCATACATCATGTGTCATGAATATATTTTTACCTGTATGAGAAAATACTCACAAGCACTAAAGTTCAAAAGAAAAGTTTTATTACCATTCCATTCATTCAAGGACAAAGTGTCCTATTACTTTTATTGACATCCAGTGAGTGAGACAGGAGAGACATGGTGACTTGGCTGATCTACCAGAATATAATATAATACAAGACTTGTGAAAAACTTTATGAGACAGCAACTCAAACCAAATTTGCACATTATGATCAATCATGATCCTCTACAACCCCTTCTCTCCACACTAATGGAAAAAGAATGTGAAAGAAATGAATCCGCAGGTCCTGCACTTTTGATGCTCCCTTGTCAACTATGAACATCATCAGATATGTGTGGTATCCACAGGTGTTCTTGCAATTGAATTATCAGTTGCCTGTTATTCTGTATTTTTATTCTTTCTTCTTATGGCAAATTGAATGCAGTTGGATTAGCTGGCCCCTTAAGCTGCACTCTTCCACCTGAAAAATTAGAGCAGCTTCAAGATATTATAAACTGCTGGAGATAAACAGTACGCTACATATGACTGAAGAATTCAGCCTTTATCTTACAATGAAGATGGAAAGATTGTGTGCTAGACAAACCTGTGACTTGTATGTCTTTGACAATAAATCTCCACATTCTCCAATAAGAGCTCTTTCTCCACCAACAACTTTGGCTAATTCTGAAATAGAAATATCTGTTTCTTCCGCCTGAGTTTGACAAATTTTTATTAGTGCAATACCTAAAAGTGTATATTTCCACACATTATTTATGCACAATCTAATTGGATGTCTTAATGCGTTTCTTCACCTGAATTTGTTATATAAACTCATCTTTTGACACTACTGGCTACATAACAATGTCAAGACACTGACTGAATGAGAAACACAATAGGGGGAGGAAGCAGGACTAAGGATGATTTATATAACCAAACAATTTTAATCCAATTCAAGTTCAGATAACCTTAAGATCACAGCATACCCTTGAATACCAAACTAAGGATGATTTATATAAGCAAACAATTTTAATCTAATTCAAGTTCATATAACCTTAAGATCACAGCATACCCTTGAATACCAAACTGATGGTTTGAAGAAAAATAAGTGCATTTCCAAACAATTGAATTGATCCATTCTTTCATTTGTCTCACCTTTGGCATGAATCTTTGGATATTGGAAATAATTGTTTCCATCATCTTCAATCCTGAATTCAGTGTCTCCCCCACCTCTCTTACATCAACCTGTGCCATAATACATTTTTGTGAAGTACAACTTGCAGACAATGCCAATGAATAGGCATAACAGAAAGAAAATAAACATAATTCACTTGTCTAGATTATTAATCAACAGACAATCAGACATGAGAAGAGGATTAATAATCATACCCGAACATTCCCACCAATTGGAAGTTGCACTGAGGCATTCAACAATGCCTGAATTGCTTCGGTAATGGAAACTGAATAATCTTCTTCCAAAGCAGACCACTCATCCAGATATGGAATCTGTAATTATATCCAATTAAATATTCAAATTACTGGAACAGATATTACTGTCCGTATACAAATAAGAAGATAATTGATAAACCATACTTCAAGAAAGAAAGGCTCCTTACTAAAATTGACTAAATACCATCACTAGGGAAGATTTAATTAGTTAGGATAGCAAAAGGAACCGGCATCCTCTTAATTGCACTTCAAGATATATTAATTGCATGAGGTGGTGGTTATGTTGAAATAAATAGGATATAGACTTGATTATTGATACCACAACAATTCAACAAGCAATAATAATTTTTTTACACTATCACAAACAGGAAACGTTGCTCTGTGCTCAACTTGACTGCAAAAATATAAAAAGCATTCAAAACTTTTGGTGGCCTTACTTGAGCTTCAAGAATTGTTGACAGAATCTTAGATCTCCGCAAAAGCTCCAGCTCAATGCGTTTCCGCTTCACAGAATCGCGCATTTCTGATATTCTCATTGCATGAGAATATAGTGCTTTCTGCAAGGATTAAGAAGAAGAAAAACAAAGAGTAACAAGAAGAGCTGAAGGTGATTAAATTGTACAAGATAGTCCAAGATTTTAAGCTACATCAGAACCAACTGAAATACTGAGAAGATGTAAATGTGCGCTAGAGTTCTGAATAGTTAAAGAGCAATAATACTTACACATGAACGAAAGTTTTGTAAAAGCCATATCAACTTTATTGGAGTATAATTTGAAATAAACTAGATACTATGACCAATAAATGAAGATATGATAGTCAGTTTGCACTCAAAAGTCAAAATAAACCATTGATATAGAACTGTTCTAATCTGTGGATCACTAGAGAATTCTCCTTCTTGCTCATGATTAAACAACCTTCCCTAAATTCCTCTTATTCTATCTATTAAGAGATTTATAAGTACATAACTAGCTTCCTAACCAGATAATTGTGATTTTCTTCTGTACTATACATATATGTGTAATTTGTTGCACTACATATTTTCTTATTGATTTTCTGTTGTGACTGACCTCGCTTTCTTTTTGCTGAGCTTTCATAGCAGACTCAGCTTTTGCATTGGCATATCTCCATTGAAGATAACGATTATAGAGCAATCTGAGGGAATGCACATCTTCCTGATGACTAGATCCTTTCTTCCCTTTCCTTATATCCACAGCAGGTTTTGCACACTGAGGAGGAACTGGTGGCAAACTAAGGCCTCCTCCTCCTCCTAACTTGACATGATTCGATTGATTTCCAAACTGCTTGGAGAAAGAAGAAGGTTGCTGCTTCTCAGTCCCTTTTATGGAATGAACAAGCAAGTGCTCACAACCCGAAGATGGCAAACTAATAGAACGATAGAAAGGTGAAGAACCATGGAATTTCAAGTCCCCACTATTCCCAATTTTTTCAGCCACTGATCTAGTGGACACATTAGGCATCAACATATCTCTATCTCTATCTCTATCTCTATCTCTATCTCCCTCTGAACACAATTCAGGAAGTGACTGTATGCTGCAATTCACACTAGAATTATCAATGGAGCAAATTGAATCACCATTGGCCTTGGCTTGATTTGACATGCCACTGGCTTGTAACAGTTTTGAAGCAGCTGAGGAATTTCCATTGCTAATGATAGACCTGTGATGTGTGAGCCTGTATCTTGAAGACACACTAGTTGTGGGAGTGGGAGTGTCAGGCCTAGAAGAAGCACAAGGTGTAGCATTGTTATTATTATTACCAATTCCAATTCTTCCAGAACATGACTTTGAAGGGTGAGGGTGAGGTTGAGGGTGAGGCACATGTTCCAATCCGTTATTCTCCTTGAAAAGCTTCACTGCTCTCTGTTTCCTCTGAGAAATGGAATACCCAATTGGGAATGGGGTTTCTGAATTCTCATCGGTGGAGTTGGAATCCGCTTCCTGCCGCTGACGCCGGGAAACTGAGGGTGACATGAATCTGGAACTGACCTCCCTGACCCTTGGCCGGCGGTGATTAGAAGGTGGCGGCGGCGGAGGCGGCGGAGCTGCTGAAACATCGTCCGTTGAGGAATTGGGGTTTTCTGAAACTCTGAGGTGCCTGTGTTGTTCTTGCATAGTGGCAGCACAAACTTGCAATTGCACCATTCAGAAACCCCCCAATTGGATAAAGCGAAGAAATTTGGGAAGGAAGGAATGATGGGTGAATCCAAAACGAAGGTTTTGAGTGACAGAGAATAATGGAAGAAGAGGTTCGGTTCGGTGCTGTGTTGGAAGGAAAAGAAAAACTAGCCGTTGGAGTTTATTGGGGTAACGTTGCCAACGGTTCTAATTTCAAAATAAACAAACGGGGTTTTATTTATTTAATTTTTAGTTCTTTTATTTTTTTAGTACAATTTAATTTTTAGTCTTTCTTGCTTAGCTTTGGAGATTCTGTCTATTAAATTACGTAACCAATTAATGATACACACAATATCATTTCATAATGAATAATTATAAAAATTTGTTCATGGAATAATTTGTCTATTATTAATTCATTTAGTCTACCAAACTTATATAAATAGAATTTCAATAAGTTTTTCTCTTTGTCAAAGTGTCTGGTTATATTTGGAACGTGGCATTGATGTGTCTGAAAAATATTTAAGTATACTTAGTGTGAGACAATATCACAAAACATATATCACTCATCAAAATATTATTTAATATTATTTCACATCTTTTTTTTTTGGTAAACTATTATTTAATATTATTTAAAAAAATAATATTTCACATCTAAATATTATTTAATATTTAATATTATTTCACATCTACACACACGCATATTCTAATAATAATTATCATTAAAAAATTATAGGTAATAGTTATAAAAAGTAATTATAACCCAAATAATATTTAATGGTACAATGTGCTTGACAATTTCTCCAACTTCCAATCCTGTAGCAGTAATTTTTGTCCATGTTGTGTTCGCTTGATCATCCTGTAAAGAACTTTAGGATACACCATCCCAAAAGCTAGCTCAAAGGGTGGGAGTGCCCAAGGCCTTATAATGGCCACATTAGTTGCCCACATAATCAATGTGGGACTATATATCTCAACACGCCCCATCACGCAAGAGCCCTTTGGGCTAGAAGCGTGGAATTGCACAGGCCTAATTTTTGGTTTACCTTTTGTGCTTTTTGTTTTTAATTTTTAATTCCACTTGAAAGTGGGGGGTCGTGAGAATCGCTCTGATACCATGTAAAGAACCTTAGGATACACCACCCCAAAAGCTAGCTCAAAGGGTGGGAGTGCCCAAGGCCTTATAATTGCCACATTAGTTGTCCACATAATCAATGTGGGACTATATATCTCAACACATCCTCACAAAAATAATAAATATAATCACTAACCTAATAACAAAGTTACTTCATCTGTGTTAGATATTCGAACAAACCAAAAGGATTCAAATTCGGATCTATTTCAAAGGGGGACAAAAAGATGCAAACAAACTAATAATAAATGGAAAAAATATTTGTTACGTGAAATTTTATCATTTAAAATAACAAATATTTTTTTCAAATAATAATCGACACTATTTCTATTTAAAAACTTTCTATATATTGATTTAGTTCATTCACTTCAAAAAAAAAAAAAAAGAACTCGAGAAAATTCGAGAGAATATGTACTTTTTTTGACCTAATTAAATTAAATGTACACTCAGAAGGATATATCACTGAAATCTTCGGATGACTATGATAAACTTACCTCATCCTGATTATCCTCGTTCTGATTGATCTTGAGGATTGATCAAAATGAGCAATTTTAAAAATTTAAAAATATAAGTTCCCTTCGAGTTATACATATGTAGCTGTGTTTAAGACTTAATAGCCAAATTTTTACTCATTGTGATCCATACAACTCAACATGAATCAGTAAAGAAATCTTACAAAAAAAAATTGACGCAAATTTATTGTAGAAAACTTTTGTCAACTAATATATTAATTTGGCACATAACTGAAGCATTTTACTCAATCCGCATGGGCGTGTATGTGTCTCTAAGCGCCAATAACAATGACAGATTTTAATATGAAGAAAATCCTGTTTTTAGTAGCGTATGTGCCAATTAACAGATCAATTTTCAATTCACTTCCTGTGAGAAGAAAACTCATCCATAATCCTTAACTGTATGCATATTGAGAACTGTATTCATCCTTAAAACCCATTGTCGTAATGATGAATGAAGTAAACTAGAATTTTCATAACTAAGTAGAACTATAACAAGTTCAAAGAACCTGTAAAAACGTGAACTTAAAAAATACATGTGTGGTTCGATCCAAATTATAAACCTCCGACTTCATGGCATAGGCATACGCATACAGTCATCAACTTGCATGGAATGCTAATGCTGCAGAGATGATGTCGTCCAAACAAATGATCCTTGCCATGAGATTCTCAATCGTACAAATTGGAATGCAGGAGATAAATTTGATTCTTGTATTATGCCAATTCCTACTAGCTGTCTATAAATTGCATGACTGAAGTTATGTACAAAGGAAAGGAGACTTCAAATGCATTGTGTTGCTCGGAAAGAATCATGATGAATAATGGTCATGTCCATGAAATCCCGATCTTGTCGAAGTAAAAGGCTCGGCTGTTAAGACCGAGAACATCAAATTGCAGCATTATTATGTCAAAACAAAATTACTTCACATTAAACCAAAAAAACTCATCCACAAAGGTTCAAGTATAATATGCCCAAGACCATTTAGAAACGCAACTATAAATATTCCATGAAAATTGCAGATAATAATACACAAAAAAAATCCAAGAAATATCGGATTCCAAAATTGGGTAGTCCATATGTTTGAGAATGACCATTATGTAGCCAGTTAAGCTTGTTGTATAAGCTGGAAACCTAAGAAAACAGTTGTTTTCCGGGATTATTAAAAAAGTGAATAAAGATGCAATCCTTTTAAAGGAAAAAATCAGGCTAGATACCAATACTTTATCCACTTCATCAATTCTTCAGTGAGAATAACACAATTCTAAATAAAAATTAAAGTCAAACTTACCTTCATCTTCATCTCCGTTATGACTTGTAAAGAATGGGGTGAGGTAGTTTTTATCTAATGCCGTAAAAGATGCAGCACTGCAATGAAGAAGCAAAGAGAAATTAGCAGTGACAACATCATTAAGAAACAAGTATGTATTTAAACCCTATTTGCAGTTTCAGAACACAGATAATACCTCTTGTGGAATTCTTTTAACTTCATCTTGATTTTGTTCCCCGAGGATGATTCTTCATCGTAAGAAGGAGCAATATAACCATTGTTTCCATCGTAATTCTTGCGAAAGAAACCAAAAATATTAGTTGAATGAGGAACGAACAGAAACATGCGAAGTAGATTCATTACGATAAGTATTATCCATTGTCAGGATCAACGGGACTGTCAAAATTGAGTTGATTAACTTGGTAGTTAACAAACAACTCAATAACGACAATTCATAACAGCACATGAATTCTTGTAAATCAAAATCACAATAGGAGCTTTGCATAAGTTGTTGAAGCATGTTTATCAAGCCATCAGGCAAGCACAGGATAATTATATCAAACACTTAATAATTAGTTGGGCATGTTCGGTCCCTATAATTCTATTTTAGCTAGGGTGATCCCAGCCTCTACTTCATAGGCTTGGAATTTTTTAGTGTTTCTCTAATTTAATGGTCGATAACATTAGTTTTAGATGCAGTTCAAAAACATAAGCACAAGTTCATTTGCATGCTTCCACTTCATTCTGCATTAAATATTGTTTGTTTATGAGGAAGATTATACTTACAACTTATTTTGGTTTATAAACTTTTACAACCATATCTTAACCATTGATTTCTGCCAATTAACGATTATCATTTATTATGAATTAATAATTAATTAATGAGTTTGATTTGCAAAAATAATAACCGTTGATTGATGAAAATCAACGGTTAAGATATGGTTGTAAGAGGTTGTAAACGAAAATAGATTGTAAGTATAACCTTCCTCATTGTTTATATCAAAAAACAGTTTTCCCCACAAAAGGAAAAAATATTTCTATTCAAACTAGTCCCACCCTATCTTAGTCAAGCAGAAGACCCTTTTCTTCCTGCATGCTTTTAATATTTAAGAAAGCAAAAGAGCCTAATCTTGCATATTACAAGCTATCACTAAAGTGACTAAACCAAAATGAAATGTGCACGAGGATAGAAGTTCCAGTTAAATTATACAGCGAAGTTACTACAGATGAATCCAAGTTACAACAAGAAGAACATGCATACAACGTCTCAAATAAAACAAGCATAGAATATATAAAACGGTCGTGTGAGCATATGTTCAATACAAGTATTTTCCCTTCAATAGAAGACAATGAATGTTTGTTTTAGTTTATTTCTTTCTTTCAAACATTCAACAATGAGACCACATAACAAGTATCAATATCTCTTTAACAAGAAAATTTGAGATTCTATGAAAATGAGATATATAACCTTGGAGCAAGCTTGTGAAAGAAAAAATTTTAAACCCAGATTATATTTGTATTTGGTCATTTGGGTGTTACTTCCAAATGTAAGTTTCAAGGAAAAAGAATACAAGAAAATTCAGAGAGATAGAATATACAAAACTAAGTCTTCAACTACATTATTTGTTGCAAAACTTACTGTGATGGAACCAACTGAAGCCAAAGGGCTATCATTATGACTTTCACCACCTATAACATCTAGAGCTTCCAGCATGGTACCTGTTGAACCACCAATCAGCAATACCTGAAACAAATATATAACATTTCATGTTGAAATTATTGCTCAGGGATGGCGATTAATTTTGTGGGGGAAAAAAGTGGGCTGCCTTCTAATAACCTAAATAAGAAAATTAAATAAGTAGGACACAACTTTCAGTCAGTTCTTTTGGATTTTATATAAATGGAACTTCTATTTTCTTTTACAACAGATCACTTAACACAATTTCCTCCATTTATAATTTAGTCACCATTTGTCATCTGAGATTCCTGAATGGTACTCATATCATTCCACACCAGTAGACCAGTAGCTCACATGGTGATTGCTTAAAATTTGATTCAAAGATCTTGCACGCTTTGAAAGATTCTCCCAAAGAGGTCAAGAACTTGGTAAGTTAACAATTTCTTGCATTTAGATTTAAAATTAGCTTTTCTATTGTCTCCTCTTCATATTTTGTCTCAGCAATTTTCCCCCCATATCTTCTAGGAATGCAACCCTTAAATTTCTCTGTACCTTGGTCTATATTTGGATTTTAAGTTTACTTTTGTAGTGTGTCCTCTTTATATTTTATCTGCGCATTTTTTTTCCATCTCTTATCAGAATACAGTCTTGATTTCTTGCTCTACCTCATTTCCCTTTGCGAATTCATCTTCTCTTCAATAGGTGTTAGTTCAAATTTCTCCTGAATAAATCTGTTCCTGATCTTATCTTTTCTTGTATGTCCATTCATCCACCTCAACATTCTCATCTCCCCTATACCCAGTTTTTGCTCTTGTTGGCACAGTGTCGACGCAAATAACATTTACAATTTACAGAATGTCCAACATAGCTAAGTGCCTCAGACTGCCCTCTTCTTTGTTTTTTTATAATGATTAGTTTAACTAAAGGGTAAAAGAGCATGCCTACCGTCAAAACAACTATTGCTGTAGTTGCAGTGAAGATGGTCTGGCCATGTCCTTCTGGAAGATCGTGAACTGATTGCAGAGCAAGGGCAAAGGCCATTGCCCCTCGAAGTCCTGTTCATGATCACAAAGTGCAAAACTTAGGTACAACATTAAAGAATACGCCAAAGACAAGAAGCAAATTGATTTTATTGACAGAACTAACCAAACTTTCCACAGCAAAGTCAATGATTTATGTGTTGCTTAATTCCTTACCACTATACCAAAGTGCTTTCTGGTGTTTTGCAGGTATCTTTCTATGATTGGGTCTGACCAGATTGACAAGATAAGCACAAGAGAAGACATTTGCCGCCCTGCATGTAGTGACCCAACAATTGTTAACAGAAATGTGGAAGCAAACCATAAAAATGTCTAAAGTGCATGCAAATCTTTATATTGTAAACAAAATATCCAAAAAGCATGAAATGAACATGTGCCACTATAATCCAAGACTTATAATGATAGCAATCAGTACAAATACCTTGCAATTCCAATGAATATCTGAAGTGATTATCATATGAGTCAAGGAAGAGGACCAAGAACATGAAATGCTAAGCTAATACAAATAGCAACACTTATGGACCAAAAAGAAAGGATACAATGGAGAAGAATATAAATCCAACATGTGACCAGCTATGTTGCTCCATAGCAATATCAAAGCCCATGTATATAAATCTGTAGAACATAAGACAGAAGTGTTCGCGCATCATTTAGAGGAAATTTCTAAATACAAGGGGGTAAATGCTGCAAGTGAAATCCTCCTTACACAAATGTTTCTGCTAGTGACGATATCAACTCGAAAAAAGCAGAGACAAATCTTTGAGAACTTTGGGACAAATTTGAATACGAATAATGCTTCATGACCTAAAAATAACCAAAATACTCATAACAATGTTTTGACACAGACATGAAATAACACATGAAAATCTAACATGTACTTACTATTCCTGTGAACAGTATTGATACAATACCAGACAGACCAATGCCCTCTGCAAGCATGTACCTGAAAACAAAAATAGCTTTACACTGATTTGCATCATGAATTGAAGAACTTAAGAAAATTTTGTGAAAAAGTTACGAAAAAATGGTCCAGGAAGATCTCTTACGAGAAATATGGGAAAAGAACAAAAAGACAGCTCTCCAAGTTCTGAAGGCTGGATAGAACCATAAAATTCTTCCGATCAGTATTTTCCAGACATGATGTGAATCACCAAATATCAGCAAAGAAAACTAATATCAAATACTTACTTGTCAACATCCAACCCTGCATACTTAAATAGGTTCTGATAGTCAAGGTTTTACAATAAATTTTAACTTTTAAATCTGTAAAGATTTATACTGCAAATATATAGGACAATTGGTTTAAAAGGATATTAAAGCAGATGTAAATCCAACTCCAACACCTGCAGCGAATCAAAAGAATTACAACTTAAAAATACTGAAAATATAACAATTTATAACATTACAGAATAGCATCTAAGTTCCTAAACAGAACATTAGGTGAAAGACAGACCTGCAGACAATGACCCAACAAAAGTCTCCAAAAATCTAACAACCACCATCAATAAATTTTGTCCAGACGGTTGAGTTTTAACCAATGCCATTGTTCTGCAAAGTAAGTGCTTGAGTTAGAAGTGAAATAATTTAATAATAGATAAGCACGTTATAATTCAGAAGTTCAGGTACCTGTACAACGAAATTGCCATCTGCCCATAGTGCATGAGGAATGTTAGGACAAAAAGAAATAACGAATAGAAAGGTGGAAAATAAAGCAAAAGATCAGCCAATGAGCACCATCACTCTTTAAATCACATGCACTCCAGCGTTAAAAAAATCCTTTAGCAACAGACACTTACTGCATCATTCAAAACAGATTCTCCAAAAACCAAGGCATATAGATTGACATCTGTGCCCAGCTCCTGTAATAAGGCAGGTAAAATTCAAAATTAGGAATGAAGTGAATCAGAACTACCGTGAAGGACAACAAAAGAAAAGCTAGTTGGACAGAAAATAGGAAAGCACAAACCCCAAGCATAATATCACTTGGCCATTTCATCCGATTCATGGTGAATTGATGACATAACATATTAGAGATTTGTAAAACTTGAATTTTCCTAATTAAGGCTTTCTATTCTTTTTTCCTGTCACATATACCATTAACAAAAATAAGTTCAATACTGATATCTATGTCATCTATTTATGTCACTATAGCAAATCTTATGACCATCTAAGCCAAAGATTCAACTTGTGGGAAAAAATATAGTAGCTGAAACATAGGCAACAAACAAGCAAATGTAGGAGAATGATAACGAATCCCCCCTATTGACACTCCATGACCTTTGTATTGAAGGTGCATATTGGGTTCGAGAGCTCTATGAATCATAACCTTGGAAGTCAAAACATGTATATGGACTAACGTAGTAGAGGTATAAATGAAATAATTACAAAAATAAAGAGGTAAATCACCTGAAATATGGACAAAACAGTAACAGGATCAGTTGCTGATATAAGAGCACCAAACATCATGCACTCAACAAAAGGTAGTCTATACATGAGGAAGACCAACCCACCAAGATAACTGCAGAATAGAGGACAAAATCATAAGCAATCAATCGAAAAATCCTAATAAACCACCATAAATAACAATCGAGAAAAGGGGAAAAAGAAAACTTACACCAAGACACCAGTAACAAATGAAGCTAGAAAGGTACCAAATATAGCAAAAGTCACAATTGCACCAAAATTTGAGAAAAAGGGTTTCTGTCAAAGAGCACAATACCACTAAGTCAAAAAGCTTGTCCAAAAGAACAAAGTACATGTCCTAAAAAGGGAAAAACGACGAAGGGACTTACAGGTGAGAGACTGAACCCAGACTGAGTAAACTGAGGAGTCAAGAAAACACATAATAGTATACCCAGATAAGTAGAAGACATAAATTGAAAAAAAAAAAAAAAAAAAAAAAATGATAACTCAAGAAAAAATAATAACAGTATTAATAATGAGGATATAATATGATGGGAGGTAACAGGAACAGGAAGAAAAACTCCTCATGAAAATTGAACCACGACCTACGGAAAAAATGAAAATTCAAATGTCAACTCTAGAAATAAACAAGTAACCATTTACAAATTCTTCTACCAACCAAAAAATAATAATAAAAATAAAGGAGAGAATGATTAAACATTGGAAATAACCTAATATTATTTTCAGTGTCTGAAATGTTAGCTAGTACACCAACAATTAACCCTGCAGAGTGCAGAAAGAGAATTTAGGTTAGAAAGTGGGGAAATAATAAGAATGAGGAAGAAATTGAAGGGGTTTGGTAGTAGGGACTCACCTATGAGAAGAGAAGCACTGGCTTCAGGAATGATGTAAATCTTCTTACGACGGAGAACGTGACCGAGAACGAAAGACAACACCAACATCATGATCTGAAGAAGGATTCCGACGCCGGCGGCTTGCTGTTCCTTGCCGGGAACCCTATGACCATCGGCCGGAGAAATTTCATCCTCCGCCCCCATTCCCGGAAGAAGCACTCGCTTGCTTCCTTCCAAATTCCCTTCTTCACAAATCACAACTCTTCCACTGTCTCTCTCTCTCTCTCGCTCTCTCTCTCTCTCTCGCGTTCTATTTCTTGAACTCTGCTTAAGCACGGAATAATAATTAAATAAAAAATAAATAAAAAAGTGCACTTTTGACTTTACGTGAAAAATTTAATTTATTTTTTTGAGTCGAAAAAGGCACAACAACGGGTGGAGGCCCAATCTGACTGGCCCAAAAGAAGATATATAACAGTGATCTTACGTATTCTTGACGACACTTTGATGATGCCGTTTTGTTCGTCTCATTTACACAACCCACCACATGTTTGACAAATTGCTCCACAGAGACATTTCCCAACTCAACTCACTCATCACCTCGTATGTTCGAAGAGGTGACCCTGTCTCCGCGTTGACCCTCTTCCGCTGTGTGCGTCGCGTGCGCTCCGATGTTGATGCTTACACCTTCACCCCTGTCTTGCGTGCGTGTTCTTTGTTGGTTGTGTCTGAGCTTGGGGTACAAGTCCATGCTCACATGATCAAAACCGGTGCAGATTCCGGTACCGTTGCGAAAACCTCACTGATGGATATGTATTCGAGATGTGGGTCTTTGGGTGAATCCGTAAGGGTGTTTGAAGAAATGGGTTATAAGGATGTTGTTGCTTGGAATGCTTTGCTTTCTTGTTTTTTGCGGCATGATCTTCCTGTTAATGCAATTTGTGTTCTTAGAGCAATGGGGAGGGAGAAGGTTGAGCTCAGCGAGTTCACGTTGTGTTCAGTGTTGAAATCTTGTGCTTCTTTGAAGGCCTTGGAACTTGGTAGGCAAGTTCATGGCTTGGTGGTGTGTATGGGGCGTGACTTGGTTGTTTTGAGCACTGCTCTTATTGATTTTTACTCCAGTATTGGGTGTATTGATGATGCTTTGAAAGTATTTTTTAATTTGAAGGGTTGGAAAGATGATATGATGCATAACTCGTTGGTTTCTGGGTGCATCAGGAATAGGAGATATGATGAGGCATTTAAAGTTATGAGCTTGGTGAAGCCCAATGCTGTTGCACTCACTAGTGCTCTGGTTGGTTGCTCTGAGAATTCGGATTTGTGGGTAGGGAAACAGATACATTGTGTTGCAATTCGTCACGGTTTTACTTTTGAGACCCAACTGTGCAATGCCCTGTTGAACATGTATGCAAAATGTGGGAATATTTTGCATGCCCGGTTGTTGTTTGATGGAATTTGTCATAAGAATGTGATTTCCTGGTCTTGTATGATTGATGCATATGGAAGAAATGGATATGGACATGAAGCTGTTGAGGTGTTTCAGAAGATGAGTGAGGATGGGAGTCAGGTTTTGCCAAATTCTGTGACATTTTTGTCTGTTTTAACAGCTTGTGCTCACGCTGGACTGGTGGAGGAAGGCAAAATATGTTTCAATTTGATGAGGGTGAAATATGGTCATGAACCAGATCCAGAGCACTATGCATGCTTAATAGATATCCTAGGTCGAGCTGGTAATATAGAAGAAGTATGGTCTGCATATCAAAATATGATTGAGCAGGGTACTAGGCCTACTGCAGGAGTATGGATAGCAATGTTGAATGCTTGCAGTCTTAATCAGGATGTTGAAAGAGGTGAATTTGCTGCGCAGCATCTCTTGCAATTGGAACCCAATAAAGCTAGCAATATTGTGCTTGTATCAAATTTTTATGCTGCTATTGGTAGGTGGGATTTGGTTGATGAACTGAGAAGTATAATGAGGATAAAAGGTTTGGTCAAGGAAGCTGGTAACAGCTGGATCAATGTCTTGGGCTTCAATCAACATGCTAGGTCACTATCTGCTTGATTGTTCAGCTAGACAATTGGGTAGTGTGGGCTTTGCTTGCCAAGCTCAAAACAGTCAATAGCTAAGTCAACTTGGCATTGTCTACATATAAAAGCACCCCTCACTCTTTTAGATCATTTGTTAGTGGTGAGTGTTGACAACAAGTTAACCAGTAAATATCTCATTTCCTGTTCCTCCAAAACCTCATTTTGCTGATCCTTCAATTTTTTTGTTTCCCGTTTGCTCAAGCTTTCTTCCTTCCTCCTTAAATTAGTTGATGAAGTGTTAAGGGATGTTTTACTTACTGGACCCTCAAGCTGATAAATAACTCAGTTTTGCTTGAGGTTACTCATCATGCTAGATTTTTCCTATTGTAAGATCTGACAACTCATTAACAGGTTTTAAGAGTAACAGACGTGTCAATCTCCTATGTTATAGGAATCATGGAATGTGAATGTTTTCTTTTTAATAAAAGTAATATTAAACAGGATAAGTGATAGAAAAGAAATATAGGAAGAAGGTAAATAATTAATATTGAACGTGTTCTTCACATAAGACTTCAAAAAAGAGTTTTATAATTTGGGGGTCGTGTAAGTAAAATTAAGTTAAATTTTAATTAGTTATTATGAGCTTCTTGAAAACTAAATTCGTGCACAAGGCTCCTCAAACTGGAAGGATTGAGGCAAGTTTTTATTGTTCGCGGCCTTATCTTTAAATTTTTATAAAAAAATTGTTTTCTAAACTCAAAAAATTGACCTTCCCGTCATAAAGAATAACCTTATTGTTATTTCAAAACTTGTTCTCGTGAATTTTATAACTAAAGCTAACAAAATATAAATTTCTTTACAATTAAATCTCAATCAAATTAAGATCAAAGTGTTTCTAATAATCATTAATTTTTATAATAAGACAACTTTTTATTTTGACATTTCTCTGGCTGAGGCATTTATTGTTGTCGAATGGCAGTTTTTGACTTTACTTTTAAGTATAACGTCAAAAATAATATTGTTTTACATTTGCCTTTTTTTATTGAAAAAATAACTTTCAATAAGATGAGTAAACGTCTGTTTTTTTTTTTTAATATAAATGGCACTCATCAGTATTATGTGTGTGCGGTTGTTTTTTCCGGTCGTTGAACGCGCAATTGCGTGCCGTCAAGTAACACTAATTCTAGTTGTCATGACATTTTTAGGTCCGTTTGGATTAAATGTTATATAATTGAACGGTTTTATAATTCTCAAATTATATGAGAATTGAAATCTTATATTACATAGACAAAAAATATGTGGAATTTATATATTAAAAAGAATTATATGTAAAATTTATATCAGTACGAAAATTGAAAAATGTGTAGGAAAATTTCAATTCTCACATTAAGTTAAATGAGAATTATAAAATCGATAATTGAAATCTAAACCAATATTACCTTAGTTAAGTTCAATAAAGCCAAATAGCAGATTCATAATGTATCCCTTAAAAACTCGTAGGACCAAATTGACCCCACTTCATCCAAAAGCTACACTGTAATCTAATTTTATGTGGTTAAAGTAGGTGGATTTAAATATGGAAGTGGGATCAATCAAGTTATAATATCGGCCACACAATCAATGAATTGCCAAAAAATATAAAAACTCCATAGCTTTTAAGATGACAAGGTTCACACCGAGACTCACGTGATTTGAATTTTGAATAACACACAAGGGTGAAGGAGTTTACCTCTTGGCTCACATTCTTATTTGAAAAATGTATTCGTCATATTACATGACAAATATATAATTATTATTCAATAAATTTAACTTATTTTTTTCTTAACATAATAATTATTTATTTATCATATAACACGACAAATGCATTTTTATTCTTACTTTAGAGGCAAAATCATAAATTGTTTCATTGGAGTGACTAAATTAGTGGTGTGATTATTAATTATTCTAATTATTTAATTATCTTAAATAACACATTAAAAATTATTTAATTTTTTTTTTCAAAAGGAAATGTTACGTTTACGTAAAGACCAAAAAAGAAGAAGCAGAACACATAAATATAATAGAATGAACAGGTTATATTTATAAAAAAATTTATTTATAAATTATATTATATAGTTTGGAAAGTACATTATATTCGATTCTTTATTTCTTTTTAATTTATGAAAATTTCATAAGGAGTCCTCGGAATTTCATATATTAGAGTAGGGCCCCGAGGATTGAAGAAGACGAAAAGCAAGAGCGAGTGCATAGCTGAGAGCTCTGCAATTGGATCTGAGAGGAAGAGCATCAATGGTGTGAGCGAGCGATTGAAGTCGCGAATTGCGAGATCTGTTTATTACTATTCATGATTCTTTGATTACAGTTATTCTCAGGCTCAGCAATGGACAAGTCAAGCGCTTTGGAGTATATCAACCAGATGTTCCCCAATGGTATACTATTTTCTCTCTCTAAAGCGCTTTCAGTTGAATGGATACTGTGTTGGATTGATTTGTCGAATTTTCATGTTGTTGCATTTAATTATACAGAGGCGTCACTATCTGGTGTGGAGCCACTGATGCAAAAAATTCAGAATGAGATTCGCACGGTTGATGCTGGAATTTTAGCTGCTGTTCGCCAACAGGTCTTGATCTCTTCAATTTATGTAGCATTATTTGTTCCATAATTTCAGCTCTTTGATGCATCTGCTTCTGTAATTTCAGAGCAATTCAGGAACAAAGGCAAAAGAAGATCTTGCTGCTGCCACACGTGCCGTGGAGGTTTGTTTTCTCTCTCTCTCTCTACATATGTGTATATATAAACATTTGTGTGTGTAAAGTAGTTGCCTGCTTCGAAGTGTCTCCAAATTAAGTTTGTGTTGTACTTTTTGAACCTTTGTGTTTTGTGCATTTTCTCTGCAACTTGTCTTAAGCCGTTTGGTTTCACAACGCAGGAGCTTATGTATAAGATCCGAGAGATAAAAACTAAAGCTGTCCAAAGTGAGACAATGGTTCAAGAAATATGTCGCGACATTAAGAAGTTGGACTTTGCAAAGAAGCATATAACTACAACAATTACTGCACTTCATCGTCTTACAATGCTTGGTGAGTCTTGTTTTTTTTTTTTTAATCCTTTTATCTAGTAAAAATACCTTTATTTATTTATGGCTCTTAAGCTTGCTTGTTTTACCATTTCAGATGTTGAACTTTATACAAGTGTGATGCATTAGAAACCCAAGTAGATATTTGCAATTCTGCTTATTTATAATCTTCTTCTTTTGTGGAGTATGTCAATCCAATTGCAAACAGGCATAATGTATAAATTACCAAAGAAATGCTGACTTTTGAGCATTATTATGTCACTAGGTAGGGCATTGACATGATTTAATAATATATTCCTGCCAAACAAGGTTTTGAATCATATAACCGAATTTGCTTATACTTCATTTTAAATTGTTTTGCCATTAACATGTAGACATAGCAAAGTTATCAAATGCAGATTGCGGCGGCATGTCGTGGCCAACCCCGAAAAACGCTATAGCGGGTTGCAGTTGTGGAAATAGCGGAATAGATATATGATAGAAATAATGACAAAAAGAAACATTTTTTAAAGGCAGAGATTGTAGAAGTGATCGAGAGAGGCGCAGATAGACTAAAAAACCCTTAAAAATTTTATGTTACATATTTAAATTTAGAACAAAATTAACATTTTGCCTTATGACAGCAATATGGTCACGATTTGGCCACAAATGCGATCGCAATGGCCGTCATTGCGTTCTGGTGCAGCGCGGCGCGATTTCTAGTGGCAAGGCACCACAACGCCCATATGGCGCGGCTTGCGGTGCTATTGCGGCGCAATTAACTACTATGAGACATAGTACAATTCCCCATACTTGATTGCAACAAACTACTACCAAGTGCTGGTTGCAACTGTACTTGTATTTCTGTATTTGCAACATCAACTCAGAATAAACCATTACACCATTTTTATGATGCAAATATTTAAATCGTGTGGATTCAATTTTAATCTACAAATGGAAAATGGTACATCTATTCTATAGGTTTGTTGCATACTTGTTAGCTTTTTAGATGCATAGACATTTTTTTAATCTTTTACTTCAACAAGCTTACCTATCGTATGGCAGTCTCTGCTGTTGAACAGCTTCAAGTAATGGCTTCAAAACGTCAATATAAAGAGGCAGCTGCACAGCTGGAGGTACCAAATCTATCTTTACAGCATATTTTGTCATAACTGCTACTTGTTAAATATTAAATTACTGCAATGGTGATTACCCTGTGACTGGATTGGTGTTTGTGTGTCTATGCGTGTTTTGTTTTTGATAGAAAACAAATCTATTGTGGTTCATAGTGCGTGTGCGATATGATATTTATGATTAGTCGTTTGTATCATAGATTATCTTATTACTATTGGTGTTAAAATTTATTTACTATTTTCAGTTATATTTACTTGATTCTCAAGTTTGGGTTGTTTGTTCTAGTAGTATTTATGAATTCCTTAATTTTCATCTATCTCATGGAGAAATTAATGCCTTTTGGTTTAATAAACTAGTTTATGAAACTCAACATTTTGTCTTTGTTTTATCTATTGATTTATTGATACTGTTATCTTGTATTTCAGGCAGTGAACCAGTTATGTAGTCACTTTGAGGCCTATCGGGATATTCCAAAGATCATAGAACTGAGGGAGAAGTTTAAAAATATTAAGCAAATACTCAAGTCACATGTGTTTTCTGATTTTTCTAGGTATATTGTTACTGATTTCCATATTCTGCTGTTTTTGGAATTCTCCTTGGGCTATATGAATTGGATATACAATTTTAATTTAGGTTGCTCATCTGCATTTTTTTCTTATATTTTGTTTTATGATATGTACTTAACCTTACTAGATATGGAAACAGTTTTGTCGCAAGGAGGCTGTGTAACTGGGTTTCTCAATTTTCTGTTTTTGTCTCAGCTTAGGTACGGGAAAGGAGACAGAAGAAACTAATTTGCTACAGCAGTTGTCTGATGCCTGCTTGGTTGTTGATGCATTAGAGCCTTCTGTAAGGGAAGAATTGGTAAATAATTTCTGCAATAGGGAGCTTACTTCGTATGAGCAAATTTTTGAAGGATCTGGTATGTTCGATATATCTATAACTTTAATTTTTTGTTTGTTTATTCATTAATATCTTGCCAAATGTCTGTAAGTTTGACTTTTTAATTTTATTTTTTACATCTTTCAGAACTAGCAAAGTTGGATAAAACTGAACGAAGATATGCGTGGATTAAGCGCCGGATGAGGTCAAATGAAGAAATTTGGAAAAT